CTGCGGCGACGAGAAGCGCTGGGCGGCGGCGGCCGTCCTGCTCGACCTGCTGAAGGCCTTCGAGCAGGTCAGGCACCGCTGGTTGCTGGACGCCGCGGTGCGCACTGGCTTCCCGTTGTGGCAGCTCAAGCTTCAGGTGGAGCTGTACTGCGCGCCGAGGGTGCTCGCCCTGGGCAGCGCGCGCTCCGACGTGATCGAGGCTCGGCAGGCGATCCTGCCAGGAGACGGCTTCGCCACCACCCTGCTCAAGCTGATGCTGATCGGGCCGCTGGACAGGCTGGTCGAGCAGCACCCGACGTCGCAGCTGGCGGTGGTCGTGGATGACCTCATGCTGCACAGGTTCGGTGGCGCAGTGCGTGTCACGAAGGAGGTGGCGGAGGCGGCCCTCAAGCTCAAGACGCTCTTGACGGAGGTCGACCTCAACGTGGCGCTCTCCAAGTCCCGTGTGCTCGCCAACGTGCCGGACGTCAGGCGCGCCGTCGCTGCGAAGCTCAAGCGGCCGCTCGGCATGGTGTCGGTCAAGGGCGAGCGCAATCTTGGAGTCGACTTCTCTTGCGGCCGCAGGGTTGTGAGGAAAGTCCGCGGCGACAAGACGGTGCTCGCGGGGTTGAGGCCCAGGCGCGTGGCCATCCTGAAGACTGGAGTCGGGCGCAAGCTGGCTGTCCGCAAGGTGGCGCGCAGCGGGCTCGAGGCGTCCGTCTCCTACGGCTTCTCCGTCACGGGCTGCGCCACCACGGAGCTCGACAAGCTGCGCGCGCTCATCTTCACGGCCGTGGCGCCGAGCGTGGCGGGGCGGTCGCGGACCCTCACGCTCACGCTCACGCCCTTCCTCGACCCTGTCTACCGCGCGACGCTGGCCCCAGTGATGGCGATGCTGCGTGCGGTCTGGGAGCGCTGGGTGCCGAAGCATGTGATCAAGTATGGCCTGGCCCATTGTGCGGTCACTAGCTGGTGCCAGGTGAAGGGGCCCTTCTCCGCGGTCAGGCTCTCCCTAGAGCGCGTGGGCTGGCAGATTGTTGACGGCAGCGCCTGGCTCACGCACTGCGGTGACAGCATATGCATATTCGAGACCTCGCCCTGGGTCGTCAAGCGCCTGCTCTGGATGGCGGCGGAGGCTCGGCAGTGGCGACAAGTTGGGCAGCGGCCTGGGCTCGCCCATCTGGCTGATGGGGGCATCCTTGAGCCCATCGTCAGGCTCACCAACGCGGGGGCGGTGCAGCGCAAGGGCTTCTTCGGCCGACAGGTGAACCTACGTCGACGGTGACGCTGGCGCCGCCGCTCCCCGGCCTGTCGGTCGACCTGCTGTGCCTCCTGAGGTCGCGGCGCTGCCGTCGGGAGAGGAAGCAACTCGTGGCGGTGTCGCGCGGCATGGGGCTGTGGCTGGCTCTGCTGCGGGCGGCCTGTCAGGCCCAGCTCTGGCCAGCGTGCTCGGGCCTGGCTACCTGACCGCGGTGGAGGCTAGCGCCGCTACTCTACAAGCTGCGCGCGCTGAAGCTGGAGACGGATGGGGTGACCTCATCAACGACCTGCTCGGCCAGGTGGCGCCTGGCCGCCTGGCCCCCCGACGCGGCCAGACCCAGAAGGCGGGGCACCGCTCGCACCTGGGCTGCCTGCTGGAGACGCTGGGGCTGGTGCCTGCCCAAGCCTCGTACCTCCGCGGCAAGGTGTGTCGACGGCTCCTCAGGGTGGGCTGGCGGATGCTGCCCTTAATGACGCTACTCCCCCGAGTGGCGCGCCTCGAGGAGCTACGGGGCCCACGCCCACTGCCGCTGGTGCGAAGCCTGCTCAGATCGCCAAGGCGATCCGTCTTGCGCCCAAGGAGTGTGGATACCTCGCCTCGGTCATCGTGGATGGCCAGCGGTCGCAGCGCCGCAAGTACCTGGGCGGCTACGCCTCGGACGACAAGCGCTTGCTGCGCGGCGACGTTGGCGCGCTGCTGCACAGGCACACGTGCTGCAGTGGATGGCCGTCCGAGCTGCGGCTGCCCAGCAAGATCCGTGAGATGGCGGGCAAGGCTGAGCTCGTGGAGGTGGAGTGCCTGCTGGAGCGCGTGCTGTGGCCTGCGCCCCGCGGCATCATCAAGCCGCCTCGGCCTCCTGGGCTCAGCTGGCTGGGCCAAGACGTAGGCGGCATGCTGCCGTCGGGCGACGTGTACCTGGACGGTTCCGCCTACGAGGGCGACTTCCAGCAGTGCACAAGCGTCGGCTGGGCTGCGGTGGTGCTGCAGGAGGACGCGGGCGCCTTCCGAGCTGGCATCTCGGGCACGCTGTGCGCGCCCTTCGCCGACATCAACGGCGGCGAGCTGGCCGCGCTCATCGGCACGCTGCGCCATGCCGTGCCGCCCGTCAGGGCCATCGTCGACTCCGGCTTCGTGTTCAAGGGTGTGCTGGAGCACGGGCCGCTGCTCACGACGCGCTGGGGCTACGCTTGGGCCCACCTCTGGCGCGAGCTCTGGCGGCTTGTCGAGGACTTTGGGGGGATAGGGCCACATGGCCTGACCCTCAAGAAGGTCCCTGCGCATGTCCCGCGACGCCGAGTGACCGACGACGGCGTCATCACCGCTCGCGACTGGATCGGCAACTGCATCGCTGACCAGGCCGCGATGTGCGCGGCCGAGCGCGCGAGGATTGCGCCCGAGGACCGACAACGCCTGCAGTCGGCACGGGAGCTGGTCGAGGGCGTGGCCATGTGGGTCTCAGCTGTTGGGGCAGCTGTGGGCGGGGACGACGCCACCCACCGCGCGGCGAAGCCCAACAAGGCGGCCCCGCGAGCAGCGTTGCAGCCAGCGACTGCCAGGCTAGGCTGCGACCTCCGTGGGCCGCCTGGGGCGAGATGGCGCAGCAGGTGCCGCTGGCTGGAGCGCGCCAGCGAGTGCCCAGGCTCGATTGTGACGTCCGCCCTGGACCACAATAGGAAGCTGAGGGCCCAGGGCGCGCTGGCGCACGTGATTGTGAAGATCGAGCCGCAGGTCGAGGCCCAGCTGCAACGTGAGATGCCGCTGCTGGCCTGCCTCGTCTGCGGAGCCACAGGTGCGGCGAGGAGCTCGTCCTTCGCCCGTGCCTGCGGGGAGCCCGGAGCAAAGGGCAAGCTGGCGATTGCTCGGCTCGCCAAGGGCTTCGCGCCAGGCGCCGCAGGCCGTGTGGCCGTCAAGTTCGTGCAGCTCGACGACCACAGCGTCGTGGACGACGGCGCGGGGCGCGGCGGCGGCGGCCTGGACGGGCCGCTGCCCTGAGGCGCGCGCGGGGGGAGGAGGCCCCACATCCCCGCGTGCGCCCCTGACTTCGTCGCGGTGCACCTCGGCGAGGTCGCAGCGGGTCATCCTGACCCGCGCCCGAGCGCGCGGGGCGCGCTCGGGCGCCAGCGCGGCCGAACGCCCGCGCTGATGCGAGCGCATCCTCCTCCTCCTCCACTTCCTTCTCCTCCTCCTCCTCTTCCTCCTCCTCCTCCGCCTCCTGCTCCCCCTCCTCCTCCACCTCCTCCTCCCTCTTCCTTCTCTTCCTCCTCCTCCTCCTCCTCCTCCTCCTCCTCCTCCTCCCGCTCCCCGTGACCGAGACGTCGGGTGCCCTGGACAAGTCAGACCTGCGTTGTCCGACCTCCCGCAAGTTGGACGCGCGCCTCGCGCAAACGGCGCCCGAGCTGCAGGAGCACTGTGCACAGCTGTCGACCAGAAGTTGGAACGGTCATTCAAGTGCTATGCTGTGTATCCTAGGATTTGTACACTTAGGCCACAACAGCAGGATACACTTTCCTTAGATCGCGTATCTTCCACGCGGCTGGAGTCGAGATTGTGCGCAGTATTTGCTGCGGTGTTGAGGCGAGCCCCCCGTTTTGAAAGCCGCTGGCCCCCAAATCGTGTAGGTTGCGGGAACTTTTGCGACGAATGCGCGCGGCGCTCAGGCGAGGGCGTATTTTGGACACTTCTGTCCCTCTTCCTGTGTAACTGCTGGAGCGCTTGTAAGAACAAAGAACAACGAATGCGCGTGGCGCTAAGGCGAGAGCAGCAATCCCGAAACCGCTGGCCCTCTATCTTTTGTAATATGAATGGGCGCGGCGCTCAGGCGAGGGCCGCATTGTCAGCCCACCATCTTTGCAGGTGTTGGATTTGTCCCTACCTAGGCTCTGCCTAGAAGGGTTCTTACCGTGCAAGCTTAAAGGGGCGGGCAATGGAAACCGCCCCGGGCGGTTCCCCCGGCATCCGCCCCGCGGTTCCCCCCAGTCCCCATGGAACTTTAGTTTTAGCTGTAGCTTTAGCTTTAGCTTTAGCTTTAGCTTTAGCTTTAGCTTTAGCTTAGCTTTAACTAAATCTTAACTTGATATTAGCTTTAGCTCAGCTTTAGCTTAGAGCTGTAGCTTTAGCTGTATATTAAGCTTTAGCTTAGCTTTAGCTTAGCTTTAGTTTAGCTTTAGCTTAGCTTCAGCTTAGCTGTAGCTTAACTGTAGCTTAGCTTTAGCTTAGCTTTAGCTTAGCTTTAGCTGGGCTTTACCTTATCTATACCTTATAGTTAGCTTAGCTTCACCTCAGTTTTAGCTTAGCTTCAGTTTAGCTTCAGCTTAGCTTTAGCTTAGATTTAGTTTAACTGTCGCTAAGCGTTAGCTTAACTTTAGCTTAGATTTAGTTTAGCTTTAGCATAGCTTTAGCTCAGCTTTAGCTTTGCTTTAGCTTAGCTTTAGCTTAGCTTTAGCTTAGCTTTACTGTTACTACTTATGCTGCTTTCCTAGGGGTTCCAACTCCTAGGTAGGGTCGCGCTGAGATAATTTGTTGCTTCATGGCCATTGAAAAGAAGTCTCGAGCGAAACGCCTGGCCCAGGTTTCGCACACGTTTACACGTTTGGTGGTGCGAGAAGGGGAAGTATTCGTAAGGACAAGGGATGGAGCAGGGGCAAGACAACGTTGAGGATCGAGAGGTGGAAGAAAGGGGGGAGGAGGGGCAGCAAGAGGAGGGGGAGGAGGGGAGGGGGAGGGGGAGGAGAGGGAGGAGAGGGAGGAGGTTGTCCGCGAGGGCGAACGCGAGAAGCTGCTGAACCCGGTCTCTTTCCCGCAGAGGCTGCAGCTGCGCGCGTCCGGCGGGGCCCGGGAGGCGGCGGCGCAGACCTCGACGTACGAGTGCATCGGCTACCTGGAGTTCCAGGGCAACGTTGGGGGGGGGGTGATAGGACCACGGGGGGATGCATCGACCCCAAATGCCCATTCAACGTCGAGGGAGGCCTGATAGCACACCCCGCCCAGGAGCGCGCGGATTCGCCGCCAGGGGCATATCTCCGATCAATGGGCCATTTATCGCCGATTCCCGGCGATGTTTCCCCCTTGAGCTGGTCCCCCCTCCTTGTTACCCCTCAGGAACACGTGTCGGACTCAGCTCACAGCGGCCACTACACGGCCACGCTCTACCAGGACAGGGTCCATCTAGATCCGACCGATCCGATTCGATGCTGGTCTTGGCCGTCCCGATCCGATCCGATGCGGCCCGGTGCTCGCACGGCGCCTGGCGCGACCGATTCGATCCGATTCAGGATCAGCGTTTTCGCACGTTCGTCGCTCCCTGAGATCTCTGCATGCCTCCAAAGGCCTCCGGGTACCTCTGGAGGCCTGCTTGCAGGGACCTGCGGATGAGTTGTCGGAGGCCCCTGGGCGCAATCCTGAGACCTCTGGAGACCTCCAGCAGAGGAAGATGGGGAGGAGGAGGAGGAGGAGGACAAGGAAGAGGAGTGGGACAGAGGGAAGATTTGGCGTTTCGTACCTCTTAGTTGTTCTGGGCCTCCTGGCAGGTGCGGGGGCCTCGTGGCTACAGCGGGGATCGCCTCGAGATGTTGGTCGGTGTGCTCTTTAGTAGAGGTCCATGGGTTCAGGTTTGAGGGAGATGCTGTTGATGATGATGGTGATGATGCTGCTGCTGATGATGATGATAATGGTGGTCGTGATGCTGATGATGATGACGACGACGATGATGATGATGATGATGATGATGATGATGATGACGATGCTGATGATGATGATGCTGGCGATGATAATAGTGATACAGCTGCTGGTGGCGGTGATGATGCTGATGATGATGATGATGATGCTGATGCCCATGATGATACTAGTGGTGATCATGCTGATGCTGCTGATGATGACGATGGTGATGCTGATGGTGGTGATGATGATGCTGATGTTGATGTTGATGCTGATGATGATGAGGATGCTGATGATGATACTGCTCATGCTGCTGCTGATGATGATGATGATGGTGACGATGATGATTGTGATGATGATGATGTTCATTATTGTGATGATGGTGATGATGCTTATGACGATGGTGATGATGATGATGCTGATGCTTATGGCGGTGATGATGATGCTGATGGTGATGGTGATGCTGATGATGAGGATGCTGATGATGATGATGATAATGCTGATGATGATGGTGACGATGTTGATTGTGATGATGATGTTCATTATGATGGTGATGCTGATGCTGATGATGATGATGCTGATCATCATGATGATTATCATCATCATCATCATCATCATCAGCATCAGCATCGTCATCATCATTATCATGGTGGTGTTAGTGGTGGTGGTGGTGAGATGATGATGATGATGATGAGGAGGAGGAGGAGGAGGAGGAGGAGGAGGAGGAGGAGGATGAGGAGGAGGAGGAGGGAGAGGGAGCGGGAGAGGGAGAGGGAGGGCCCGCAGGGAGAAGGAGCGGAAGATGAGCCTGGGGTGGGCCTGGAGGCCCAGGAAAGGGTTTAGATCTGCGAACAACGGACCTTGTTCACCGAACGTTTTACGTACTAGGTGCTCCCAGCGAGGGCTCTAGGGATTCGATCCCTTGCGGCTGACCTCGCACGAACATCGACAGACCTCAATCGGAGCAGTCCTCATACGGTCGGGAACTTCGGAGACCATGTCGCGCCGCCGGTTCTGGCCCACCACGCTTCGGTGCGACAAGCTATCCGTTTCCTGGACCCCCAGCGTCAACGTCCCGAGCCTTTCTTGCCTCCCGCCCTGCGGAGCCGGGCGACACGCTATCCGCTCGCATGGCATAGCGTGTCGCCGGGGGGAGCTGCAAGCAGAACCCAGGATTAGAGAGCACGGCGGCCTGAGGCTGTTTGATGCTTTCTCTGAACCGCATCCGGGCTTCGGCTTTCGCTACGGCACGGCCGTGCTTTCAGGCATAACTGCATTCAAAGCCTTGGGGCAAGGGTGGAGGTCGAGGACGAGGACGAGGACGAGGAGGGAAAGGGGGAGGGGGGAGGGGAGGGAGTGAGGGGGGGGAGGAGGAATGGGGAAGGGGGAGAGGGAGGGGGAGGGGGAGGAAGAGGAGAGGAGGAGGAGAGAGGAAGAGGAGGAAGATGAGGAAGATGAGGAGCAGGAGGAAGAGGAGGAGGAGGAGGAGGAGCAGGAGGAGGAGGAGCAGGAGGAAGAGGAGGAGGAGGAGAAGGAGGAAGCCCCCTTGTGCACCCACGGGTCCCCTCGGTGAAGGGGGAGGGGGGCCAACTCTGGCGCCCGTGGTTCAGAAGGAGAAGGAGGAGGAGGAGGAGGGGAGGAGGGGGAGGAGGAGGAGGAGGAGGAGGAAGAGGAGGAGGAGGAGGAGGAGGTGGAAGGGGCCTGGGGGTATTTTTTTCCACGGGCCGACGCACCCCTGGTGCCCCCGGGGGGCCGAAGAGGGTCTGCGTTCCCCTCGAGGGGCTCGTGGTGGCAGGACCCTTTGGGCGCCCTGCTGTGAGGTCATCGCCGGCCCGACCCTCCCTCGGGGGAGGATCGGTTGGGAGGAGGCGTCGATCCGAGGAACTCGCTCGGGCCTCGGAGATCTTAGGTTTAAGTCGGGCCTGTCCCTCTACAGGAGGATGATTCAACAGTAGTTAAAACATAGTCTGGGGACCATTTTTTGACTATTTGTGAGCATGTTGGGAGTGTTTTTGCGTATTTTTAAGTTTTCGCCCAAAATCCCCCTGCACGGGAACAGGCCCGACCTAATTAATCTTAGGTTCATGTAACTGGTTCTTCCCTAGGGGAGTAGCAGGAAGGTGAATGCCAGCAGCGGCAGCGAGAGGAGAGGATGCGAGAGGGCTGGAGGAGGGGGAGAAGCCTAAGGAGGAGAAGGAGAAGGAGGAGGAAGACGAGGAGGAGCATGTCGACGGGGTCGGCGCGGAGGGGTGGAGAAGGAGGAGGAGGAGGAGGACGACGACGAAGACGATGACGACGATGACGTGAAGATGGGGAACCGGGTGAGGAACGTGCCGTCAGAGCCCTGCTCACATCCGTGGATGTCCATTATTATCCCTTAACTCACTTACCTATACGACCACCCTTCGGGTGATAACCAACATCTCACTCGATCGGTCTCACTATCGATCTCACTATCGGTCTCGCTCGACCGATCTCACTCGATCGATCTCACAATCGATTTCACTCGATCTAGTTCATTCGATCGGTCTCACAATCGATCTGACTATCGATCTCACAGTCGATCTCACTATCGATCTCACTACCGATCTCACAATCAATCTCACGTTCAGTCTCACGATCTATCTCACTATCGATATCACAATCGGCCTCACAATCAACGTCATCATCATCAACATCATCGTCATCAACGTCATCATCATCATCATCATCATCATCATCATCATCATCATCATCGGGTCACCATCATCAGCACCTCATCACGATCATCATAAACATCATCATAATCATCAGCATCATCATCATCACCATCATCGTCATCGGGACACCATCATCGTCATCATCAACGTCAACATCATCATCGGGACACCATCATCACCATTACCATCGGATCACCACCATCATCGTCATCCTCATGATCTCATCATCATCATCATGAAGAACATCACCACCACCATCATCATCATCGGGACACCATCATCACCATCATCAGCAACATCATCATCAACCCCATCACCATCGGGACACCATCATCATCGTCACCATCATCATCATCATCATCATCATCATCATCACCTGGACCATCATCATCAACATCAGCATCATCATCGGACCATCATCATAATCATCATCATCACCTCAGCATCATCCTCATCATCAACATCATCATTGGGACACCATCATCGTCATCGTCATCATCAACATCTTCATCATCATCGTCGGGACACCATCATCAGCACCACCATGGCCATCATCAACATCAGTAACATCATCATCATCATCATCATCATCAGCTTCATCATCATCATCATCATCATCATCATCATGATCATCAGCATCATCAGCATCATCATCATCATCATGACCATCATCATCATCAGCAGCATCATCATCATCATCATCATCATCATCATCATCATCATCATCATCATCGGGACACCGGCGGGATACTGCGGGCCACCGGACGCCGGTCCGGAATCATTTGGTCCGGCCGCGCCTCAGCCGGAGGCGGGACACCGGCGGGACACCGCGGGCCACCGGACGCCGGTCATTTGGTCTGGCCACGCCTCAGCTACAGGAGACTTTCTCCTCGCCCGCCCACGCAGCTTCGCCTCGCACGCACGGCACGCACGAACAGGAAACCGAAATCGATTTCCCGGTAGGGGGGCTCTCTGTTCCACTTCGATCTCACCCCTTTCACCTCCGACAGATGCATGGGCGGAAGCTCGTCAACTGATCCCTTCCTTACCGACGTCCTCGTTAGAATTTACCGATTCTGCCAGCAGAAAGCCCCTGACCCAGACACGATAGAGGAGAGAGAGAGAGAGAGAGAGAGCGCCTCTAGCGCCCGTATCAAAAACAACCGCGTGCAAGAAAACGCCCAAAAAGAGGCAGAGGAGGAGGAGGAAGAGGAGGAGGAGGAGGCGGAGGGAGGAGGGAGGAGGGAGGAGGGAGGAGGGAGGAGGGAGGAGGGAGGAGGGAGGAGGGGAGCGGGAGGAGGGAGGAGGGAGGAGGGAGGAGAGAGGAGGGAGGAGGAGCGAGGAGGAGGGAGGAGGAGGAGGAGGAGGAGGAGGAGCAGGGAGGAGGGGGAGGAGGAGGAAGGAGGAGGAGGAGGAGGAGTACGTAGTGGGCGCTGACGACTCGAGCGCTCGTTCCCGCGGCTAGCCCAGGCAAAGGAGCAGGAGGGGAGCGGGGCGGGGGCGGAGTAGGAGGAGGGGAGCGGGGATGGGGGGGAAGAGGAGGAGAGGTAGGTCGAGGAGGCGAAGGAGGATACGCAGGGATCGGGAGCGGGAGCAGGGCGACGGCGACGAGGGTCGACGGCGGCCGCGATGGACGACGACGGCGCCGGCGACGAGGGACGACGACGGCGACGGCGACGAGGGACGACGACGAGGGTCGGCGACGGCGACGGCGGCGACCGCGGCGCCGACCAAGGGGGGGAGGAGGCCGCCGGGCCCACCCCGCAGGAGGAGGAGGACGTGGCCGAGGCGCTGGCCCTGGTGCGCCCAGCCGCGCAGGCTCGTCGTGCACGTCGTCGTCGTCGTCGTCGTCGTCGTCGTCGTGCACGTCGTCGTAGTCGTTGCTCCCGCTGGCGGCGTCGTCTTGATCGTTGCCCTCGTCGCCTCTTCATCGTGGTTGTCTGCGCCGCCAACGCCGCCGCCGCCGCCGCCGTCGTCGTCGTCGTCGTCGTCGTTCTCGTCGTCGTCGTCGTCGTGCACGTTGTCGTCGTCGTCGTCGTCATCGTCGCCTTTGTCGAATTCGTCGTCGTATCGTCGCGTTGTCGTCGTGCACGTCGTCGTCGTCGTCGCCTTGGTCGAGTTCGTCGTCATGCACGTCGTCGTCGTCGCCTTTGTCGAGTTCGTCGTCGTATGGTCGTCGTCGTCGTGCACGTCGTCGTGCACGTCGTCGTCGTCGTCGTCGCCTTTGTCGAGGTCGTCGTCGTCGTCATATCGTCGTCGTCGTCGTCGTCGTCGTGCACGTCGTCGTCGATATCGTTGTTGCCTTTGTCGAGTTTGTCGTCGTATCGTCGTCGTCGTCTTCGTCGTCGTGCACGTCGTCTTTCCGTCGTCGTCGTCGCCTTTGTCGAGTTCGTCGTCGTCGTCGTTGTCGTCGTCGCCGTTGTCGAGTTCGTCGTCGTATCGTCTTCGTCGTCGTTGTCGTGCACGTCGTCGTCGTCGCCTTTCTCGAGTTCGTCGTCGTCGTTTCGTCGTCGTCGTCGTCGTGCACGTCGTCGTCGTCGTCGCCTTGGTCGAGTTCGTCGTCGTATCGTCGTTGCCGTCGTCGTCGTCGTCGTCGTCGTGCACGTCGTCGTCGTCGTCTTTGTCGAGTTCGTTGTCGTCGTCGTATCGTCGTCGTCGCCATGCACGTCGTCGTCGTCGTCGCCTTTGTCGAGTTCGTCGTCGTATCGTCGTCGTCGTCGTCGTCGTGCACGTCGTTGTCGTTGTCGTCATCGCCTTCGTCGTCGTCGTCTTTTCGTCGTCGTCGTGCACGTCGTCGTCGTCGTCGTCGAAGTTGTTGTTGTTGCAGCCGGCGTCGTCGTCGTCGTCGTGTTCGTCTCCCTCGTCGCCCTCTTCGTCGCGGTTGCTTGCGCCGCCGCCGCCGCCGTCGTCGTCGTCGTCGTCGTCGTCGTCGTCGTCGTCGTCGTGCACGTCGTCGTCGTCGTCTCGTCGTGTCCGTGCCTTTCGTTGTCGTCGTCGTCGTCGCCGCCGCCGCCGCCACGGCCGTCGTCGTCGTCCTCCTCCTCGGGTGGCCGGCCTTCCACAGTGCCCTCTCGCCGCCACGGCCTGGGGCTCGACTCCCGGGGAAGCCTGGTCAGAGCTCGCCCGAGGGGATGTCGGGCAGTCGGGACTCGCTCGAGGGGAGGTCTGGTGGGGTGGTCGTCCGTGGTCCGTGGTTCGTCGTCCGTCGTCCGTCGTCCGTCGTCCGTCGTCCGTCCGTCGCCGTCGTCGTCCGTCGTCCGTCCGTCGCCCGTCGCCCCTCGGCCGTCGTCGTCGTTGTCCGTCGTCCATCGTCCGTCGTCCGTGGCCCTTGTCGCCGTCGCCGCCGCTGGTGTCGTCTTGGTCGGCAGAGCCTGTCGTCGTCCTCTCTCGAGACTCTCGATGTCGGGGCGTCTACGGGCAGGGCCCCGTCGTGCGAGCGGAGGGGGCCCATCGAGGGCCGGCACTTCCTCGTTAGCCGTCGCCGTAGGGCTTCGCAGAGGGGCCCCGCGGGGATCGTCCCTGGGGGAACGAACAGCGACATAAACATCACAACTCGGAGGTCCGCGCGAATTTCTCGGATCGGCGCTGGGCCCCCCTGGCGGCGCCTCTGGCGCCGCCCGTGGCGCGCTCCGCGCCAGGGAGGGAGGGATCCAGCGCCGATCCGAGAAGTCCGCGCGGGCCTCCGAGTTGTGATGTTTATGTCACTGTTCGCTCCCGTAGGCCCTAGGAAGGAGGGCGGGCCTGCTCGGCGGGAGCTCGGCTGGAGGTCCAACGGAAGCTTGGTCCTCCGATCTCCGCCGATCCGTTTTTCAAGCAGTGGCGAGGCGTCCTGGCTGGCCTATGGGCCCACCAAAACATGTTCTAAGAACTTTTTGTGGTTTGCACGGAATGTTCTTAGAACATTTATGGCTGGGGCTGTCTTGTTTTAACACATCGGGGTTTTGATCTAAGCACATTTTTCGTTCTCAGAACATTTGTGGGTTCTAAGAACATGTCGTGGTAGGCCTATAGGAATGCTGGGACGGTCGGTCCCTGTTTAAGTTTTGTTCGATCTTGGCAGTTTTCACATGTCGGCGCGCCGTTGGTTCCGACGCGCGGCCGTCAGTCTCTGAGAGGGCGCCCCGACCACCAGGGCGAATTCCGCCTCAGAAGCAAGGTTTGCCGTCGGTTTGCCGCAGTGCCGGCTTTACCTGCTTGGACGTTGTAGAACAAACGGCGCGGCGGCATATTTGTTCAATATATGTCTGTTTATATATATATATATATATATATGTATATTTGTGTGTGAATATACGTATATACGTATATCTATGTGTATATATATATATATACAGAGAGAAAGAGAGAGAGAGAGAGAGAGAGAAACAAAAAGAAAGAAAACAAAAAAAAAACTTCGGCGCCAGGTGCCCGCTATCGGGCCAAGCGGGTCCAGAACGAAAAGCTGCCCCCGGGGAACGGGTCGGAACTTGCCGTGCATGGAAAAGATCGTGTCGCCAGATGTCGTCGGATGTCTGGGCCGATGCCCGTGGGCCCCTCGCTCGCTGGTGGAGGCCTGCGGGAGTCGGCAAAGGACATGTTTTCAGACCCACTCCTGTCATGCTCCTCCTCGCCCTCCTCCTCCCCAGGGAGGAGGGAGACGATCGAAGGAGGAGGGGGAGGGGAAGAGGAAGCCGGTGGACCTGTACAGCTGCTCGGTTTCAAGGGAGACCCACGGAAGAAACACTTCGAGCAACAACAACCATGTGAGCATTAACCTTGAGAGGCCTGCGCAGATGCCGGCGCTGGACCCCCCTGGCGGTGTCTTCGGGGCAACCCTTGGAGCGCTCCGCGCGCCAGGGAGTGGTCCCAGCGTTGATCCGAGAAATCCGCGCGGACCTCTGACAATGCATGATCAGTGTATGTTTGTTTTCATAATTCTTGACGCTTCGCCGCGACCTGCCCGCGACCTCCCGCCGCTGGCGCTTCCGCCTGCGGCTGTAAAAAAAAAAGAGTATCCCCATCGTTCCCCTGGGTTGCTGCCCCGCCGCCTGAGCCGCGCCGCGCGCGCTCGGGAATTTAGCCACGGCCGCGGCCCGACCGTGACTGCCCGCCGCTGGCGCTTCCGCCTGCGGCTGTAAAAAGAAATATCCCCATCGTTTCCCCCTCCCCCCTGCTGTGGTCTTGGACGGCCCGTATCTGTGTGCACGCTCGTCGGCTTCGCTTGGCCAGTGGCCATTCGGACCATCTTTCAGTGCCGCGCCGTCCGTCTTGGCCCCGCCTCCGTATGTGGCTTGGCTGGAGCTTGGCGCCGACAGGGCGACTTCTCCTCCCCGTTCCGCCGCCGGTCACCGCGCCTCTGCGTCCACACCTGCTGGGTTGTCTGTGCCGGTCACCTGCCGACGCCGTATGCGTCTCAATGAGGGTCATTTTGCCCCTGGCACGTGCACACGCCACTGCGGCCAATTATCTTCGTTCCGCGGCCCGGGCGTTGACCCGCTCCATGTCCCTCGCCTTGGAGCCGCGAGCCAAAAAACGTATCCCCATCGTCCAGGTTCAGTCCTTCACGCCCACCTTCTGCCTCTCCAGCTGCGTTGCACCACGGGTCACGACTGCTCAGCCTGTCTGGCTAGCTGAGGTCGTTGCTCGGAGCCTGGCGCCACATCGGCGACTCACTCCAATGGCCATCACGTCGTCCCCAACACGAAGGACTTGCCCATCGTGGATCGCGTCCCCACTGTTCGGATTGTGAACTGGCCGCTTGAATTCCGTGACAGATTGTCCAGTGCACGTGCCCGAGCTGTCAGTGCGCCGTACAGTTCAGCCTCACCCGTCAGCTTGCAGCTGTCTGAGTGGGCCGGCCGGCTGCGCCTGTCTTAGCTAATTCGCTTAGTTCGCGTCCCGGACTTTGCTCTCGTCGCCTGAGCGTCGTCTCGTGGCCGCGACCAAAAAAACATATCCCCATCGTCGACCTGCCCAAGGAAACCTGTCCCCCTCTCCTCGACTCCCCCTTTTGCCCCGAAGGGGCAATACCTGGGGTCGCCCTCCGCTGGGGCGAAGGCTAACCCCGCATCTCACCCACAGCGCGGCATAGCTAGACAGCCCACACTGGACAAGTGGACCACTATCCCCGTTTTCGGGCCTGACGCGGAGGGGCTACCCTCCAGCACCTGCCATCTCACCCTCTCGGGCACGGCGGGGCCAGTCTGGCCCGCGCAGAAAGGCCCCCCGGGCTCAGACACTTTGCTGTCCGACGACGACAGCCAACCCGCGCGCCGGATTCGGGGGGTCGGCCACTACATCCCCCCCGCCTGCTTGGCGGCGGGCTCGACCTAGCCAGGTCCGCAGTTTTGGCAACTACAGACTTGCATGTGCGGCGGTTAGCTGCGACCCTGGGGGACCAACACCCATCCCCGTAAACGCATCCGTCTCCGCGGTGACAGACCAACATCCAGCACGGCCTGAGGTCCACGTTGGACCCCACCCTCCCTCGGCCTTTACAACCTTTGAAGGACCCACCCACCGATACCTAGTTCTTGAGCGGCGGTTAGCTGCGACCCTGGAGGACCCAATAGAATGACCATGTCCCCTGTCCCACGGGTTCGGGGCCAGGCCGAGGGGAGGGGCGTTGCTTCCCTCCGCTTCTCCCCTCGGGGGCCAGGCGGGTGTCCCCCGCACTTGGCCCCGGGGCCCGCCCGGCGTACTGTCCTCGGGAGCCTTGAGACGGGGGTCAATGCAAACGGGGGTCAGCCAGGGCGCCTGATCCTGCAGGATCCTGCGAAGACCTCCTCTGGCTGACCCGGGTTTGGGAGCCGCTCGTGGCCGCGAGGCGGCCGCACATA